ACAAGAGTATGAAGCATAATTTACAAGAGTAAAGCAAGGCTGTTGTCTCTTGACCTTCAGTGTCAGAACAAAGCTGTTATTTTTTCAAGCTAGTTGTTAGCCCTACACTACAAATTAACCCTTACAGGGGGCACCCAGGCGGCTCAATCGGTTAAGCATCTGACTTGATCTCAGCTCAGGTCATGATCTCATGGTTCTGGAGTTCAAGCTCTGCATCAGGCTCTGTGCTGATGGCACGGAGCGTCCTTGGGATTTTCTCTCTTTCTCTCTGCCCCTTACCTGCTTGTGCTCTTGTGCTGTCTTTCTCTTTCAAAATAAATAAATAAACCTTAAAAAAAAAAAAAAAAAAGATTTACCAGGTTGCAGTTTGCGATGGTTGGTGGGCAAAAAACAAGGGCAAAATGAGAATCAGATTGGCCACCCAGAGCCGTTACCATGCCCACCGAGAGGTGTGGTGGCTTGGGCAGGACTTACAGCGGTGGGGGGCTGGGATGGGAGTACGTTTGGGGGTGAGATTCCATGAAATTTGATTTGTCAGGGTGAGTGCCATGGAGCACTTGCTCACCCGAATATGTAACCTCATACAGCAAAATTGACTTTGCAGATGCAGTTTATTAAATTGAAGATTTTGAGGTGGGGAGATTATACTGTGTTATTTGGATGGGGCAGGCACGAGAGTTCAGGGCAGAGAAGACACGAAGAAGGGCTGGGCGCTAGGTATTTTAGTTGGCCTCCAGAAACCGGCAAAGGTGACAAACATATTTTCCCCTAGAGCCTCAGAAGGAAGGTAGCCCTGCCACCAGCTTGATCGTAGTGCAGTGAGGCTGGCGTCAGACCTGATGTCCATAATCATAGGAAAACAACTTTGCTTTTAGGCACCATTGTGGCAATTTGTTAGAGCAGTAATAGGAAATTGATAGAGGTGCCAAGGAGACAGTTGGGAAGCCCCTAAGACAAAAGCCAGTCTGTCTTACATTTCACACCTTGGAGGTGAATGAAATCAATTCATATTATAGTGGATGGCAGGAAGAGAGGCCTTCCAGAGAACCCTGAGAATCCTACATTCATTATCAGCGAGTTAGTTGCGACTCTCAGTTGTGAATGCCAGGGGAGGAGAATTTACTGAAAAAGTCCCAGGGTGATCTAGCTTCAGGCACGGGTGGACCCAGGGGCTCCTGTAGTATTCTCAGGACTCATTCTCTCTCTGCTATCATACTTCTGCTGGCCTCCGTTAGCTTCACTCATAGGCAGGATGTCTCCGTAGAGAGCCTCCCTGCACGGAAATGTTCTAACAAAAGCCTCTTTGGCTCTGCTTGTCTAGCTCTGTGCCCTGTATTCATCTCAGATTTAATTATTGTGGCCAGGAGGAGGTGGCAGACTGGTGGGCCAGAATGGGTCACATCGTGTTTCCCCCTTGAGAGCAGGGGTGGAATCATCCTTATGGAAGACCATGTACCAGGCAGCAATAGATGAGGAGAGTCAGGCATGAAGGAGCTGTGGTTAAGAGGGGCTGGAAGGCCAGGCAGAATGGTTTTCGAAGGTGGAGGAAACTTGATAAAATTCTCATCTAGATGGGTGTGTGTTATGAGAGTGGGTCCAGTCCCGGGGGTCAGAGGAAGTCCATGGAAGAAGGCAAAGAGGAAGAGGACAAGGAAGGTAAAGAGGCAACATACTCGGAGGCTAGAAAAGGGGTCTTTGCTTCTGAGGAACAGTGTGAGGCCAGCTGTTGAGGCAAATGGAGAGATGAGGCAGCTGTCTCAGAGGAGGGACAGGATCCGGGACAGTCCTTGGAGAGGGAGGCAGTGGGGCCAGGGGTCTCAGCAATGGGGACATTGGTGCCCTAGGGTCACCCTTAGGGTGATGCACCTTGAGCTAACCAGGTGTGGGGATTTGGGCACAGGCTGTGAAGAGGAGCCAGAGTGGGGACTTGAGCTGGTGGCAAGAAAGGGTGGGCACAGATGCCCTCACAGCAGTAACAGCAGATACGATGTGTGCACTGGCCGCAGGGGTCCCAGAGAGAGACGTGGGTATCATTGCCCCATCCTGGAAGTGGCACCACATCCGGCTGATCCCCTGTGCTGGTGTCTCCCCACAGCATTACCTGCCCAGGACCCCACCTGCTCTCTTGAGACCACAGCTCCTCAGGAAGAGAAGGAGGAGAACATGACCACCTGGCCGGCAAAGGTGCCACCTGAGGTGAGTGGGGGGTGTCACCCTTTTGTTCTCTGGTCAGTGTCCCCTATGAGGTGACCTTCCCCCTACCTCCCAGCCTCCCACAGGGCAGACCTTTCAGAGTTTCTGAGCCTGAAGGGCTGGGCTGCCTTGTTGCTGCTGTGGAGACCAAGAAAGGGCACAGGGACTGGGAGGCAAGAAATCTGGAGGAGAAGGGAGGGGCCAAGTGTTTATAGATGCTTGGGAGCCCCAGGTAGGGACATGCAGACCACATCTGAATTTGTGTTAGAACAAGAGAGCCCTTGTCCTTCAGAAATGCATACTTAGGTGTTGATGATGGAAAAAATATCTGGAATTTGCCTCAAAATATCCCAGAGCTGGGGCATAGATGAAAGCACTGGCTGTGTCTTGCCGACTGTTGAGGCTCAGAGAATATGACAGAGTGATGTGTGGTATTGGTCAGGACTCTTTCTGCTGCAGATGGCTCACAACTGGTTCAACCATAGGGTGAATTTATTGGCTCTCATGTAATGAGTGGTCTGTGATAGGCTTCAGGCAAGACTGTATTCAGGGGCTTCCAGGTGATGAGAGAGGAATGTGTCTCCAGTCCTGGTCTCATGGCTCTGCTTTCTCCCATTCCTTCTCAAGCAGGCTCTGCCCCTGGTGGGTAAAAGCCCCCACAGATCCAGGCAGAGTGCCGTGGGGAGGCCTCTTCCTGCCAGAGTTTTGGCCAGCTCCCCAGAAAGGACTGATCTTGGCACTGCCTCTGGACACACCACCCTCTGGCAGCCACCATCCACAAAGGCAGGGATGGTTCCTTCACAGGCAGAGGGGCTGTTCCCAGAAGAAGGGAGTGTGCCTAGCAGGCAGGGCTGGTCTGAGGGGCAGTCTTCTGTGGGAAGTTGCACAGAAAGGATGAGCTGCATATAGGCTGGGGTACAAGGGAGGCAGTTTGCTTATGGCGTTTGTAGCTCTTAGTGAAGTAGATTCTGCCTCCAGCCTGGGCCCCAGACTCTGGGTTTGTGATAGGGGACCCACTGGGCCTCTTATGGGCCCAAGTCAGTGTTTCTGAGCAAACTCCAAAGCAGGGGTGTCCTCAGCACAGCAGACTCTGTTGGGAGGCCCTGGTCATCTGTTCCTGTCGATGACCCTCCTGCTGATCAGACAGAGTCATATTGCAGGAACCAGTGACCTTCCTCGATGTGGCTGTGGACTTCAGCAAGGAAGAGTGGGGGCTGCTGGACCCGATGCAGAGGACCGAGTACCACGACGTGATGTTAGAAACCTTTGGACACCTGGTGTCTGTGGGTAAGGCTGTGCCCGTGCTGGCCACTCCACCCTTCTGGGACTGGGAACCTCAGGGGCCCTGAGTTGGGGCCTGCACCTTCTCTGGGCCCAGTGTGAGCACTGGACATGCTGACAAGAGTTCCTTGCACCATCCATGCTTTCAACTGGTCCTATGGACCTCAAGGGGTGGGCATTGTGTGGACAGTGGAGGCTCAGGCCCAGGGAAAGACTGACTTACCGCCCACCTTGAAGGCATACGAGGAGTCAGAGAGCTGGGAGAGTGCTCCCTGTTCTTGCCCCATCCCTGACTGCCAAGCTCGGTGTTCCCCTCTTTGCTACTTCACTTCTTTCCGTAGTCTCCCCAGGTCGCGTGACGGTACCTGGAAAACAGAAACAAAAAAACACCCAGCTTCTGAATACTTGATGATGTCATACTGATAGCCCCTTTTACCACTTTCTCTCTATAGTATCTGTATCTTTTGGGTTCTTTCAGGGTGGGAGACTACACTGGAAAGTAAAGAGTTAACTCCAAAGTCTGACATCCCTGAGGAAGAACCAGCCCCTGACCTAAAAATGGAAGAATTCTCAAGGGATGACACCTGGTCCTCTACCTCAAGAGACATCTTGCAGGGTGGGACCCAGGAAGTCTTGGACACAGCACTGAAGCAAGTGGAGCTCACTCAGGAAGAAACCCTCCCTCAGAAAAGCCCCCAGTCCCAGGCAAACACTGGCCTTGTCACGAGCCCTATCTCACTCCAGAAAACTCTGCCCAGGAAACGCTTGCGCAAGCGTGGCTCGCGGGTTAAGAAGGTGACGCGTGGTCCATGTGTAAAAATTCATCAGAAGGGCCACAAAGGGGAAAAAGCCAGAGAAAACAGTGGTTGTGGGAGAGCCTTCAGCCGGAGCACTCAGCAGATTACGTTCACAAGAATTCACAAAGGGAGCCAAGTTTGCCGATGCAGTGAATGTGGCAAAACGTTCCGGAATCCAAGATATTTCTCTGTACATAAAAAAATCCACACAGGAGAGAAGCCCTACGTGTGTCAGGACTGCGGGAAGGCGTTTGTTCAGAGCTCCTCCCTCACACAACATCAGAGAGTCCACACCGGAGAGAGGCCTTTCGAGTGTCACGAGTGTGGGCGGACCTTCAATGACCGCTCGGCCATCTCCCAGCACTTGCGGACTCACACCGGAGCCAAGCCCTACCAGTGTCAGGACTGTGGGAAAGCCTTCCGCCAGAGCTCCCATCTCATCCGGCACCAGAGAACGCACACGGGGGAGCGCCCCTACACGTGCAGCAAATGTGGAAAGGCCTTCACCCAGAGCTCGCACCTCATTGGGCATCAGAAGACGCACAGTGGGGTGAAATGCAAGAAGAAACAGCCTACCTCATAGCCCTCAAGCTGAGCCGGTTGAAGAGACATGGCCTTTTCAGCCTGATCCTGCAATGTAACACGAACGGGCGTGGTTGGCATTTGGAACTGAATATGAAAAGCAGCACTGAGTGATGACGTTCTCAAGACCAAAGGACAACCAGGGAGACCACCCTGCACACAAGTAAATGAGAAAACTGGTGGGGAGTTGTTGCTAGTGAATATAAGTTGGAAAAACATTTAATTTTTCACTCACTTGATTTGCTGTTATAATTTGTTTGCTCATTTGGTCATTAAAAGTGATACTAGTGAAACCTGACCATGTTTATAATGTAAGTTTAAAAAGCCAGGTACCAAAAAGTCTGTGCACTGATATTATATTTGTGGTATTTATGCATATGGACAAGGACTAAAAGAGAACAAAGATAAATAAACTATATATTTCTGTGATAGAAATCTCTGGGTTTTTTTCCACCTATTAAATTTCTTTCATTAATAATTTGATACTTAAAATAAGCAGTGTTAAAACAAAGTGAAGGAGATTGTCAGACCAGTTCTAGCAGACTCTGCAAAAGGCCACAGTCCCTCTGGCCCAAGATTCCAAATGAGTTAGGATGAGTGGGTCATCCTAACCCTGATCCTCAGAGCATCATCAAGATGCAGGGAATGTTCGATTCGGGGAATGGTCATCTTAAGCAACCAACCATTGGAGGCCTAGAGGGAGGGAAACCCCCAGCAAGGGGGGGTGGGGAGCTTCCCAGAAATGTTCATGTTGGTGCCCATGTTTCACATTTTACATGAGATGATAGATTAAAATCCTTTCTCCAGGTCACACAGCCTGTAACCTGCAACCCATCCAGTCCTTGCTCCATGACTCTACCTCTGCTCTCTCAAGTTGTACATAACATTTCAAACTATGTCCTAAGACTCTGGGTCAGATGTTGAACTTCTGCTCATCAGATATTAGTTGACTGCTACAGGGCACACCCCTTCAGAGCCCTTGGGGTCATAACACTGACAAGGGTGAGGCACAGTCATGCCATCTGGAGTGAGCGTGTTTCACTCCTTTCTCTACAGGAGTGAACAGCCCCTAGAGACAGACTAGAGAAGCCCAGAGGCCAGGTGCCTGGGGAATGGTGATGGCACACTAGCTGTCATATTGCTTTTCATGCATCAGGCACAGGGCTCATGACTGCTATGTCACATCTCCATGGTAGCTTCTTTGAGAGATGAAACATTTGGGGCTGAAGAACTTGCCAGGACCCCACTGCCCTCCCACTACACAGTTGGAGATCTTTAACAGGAGAACATCAGCAGCTCCTTCTCCAAGTACTGATGATGTAGGGATGTCCATTTACTTGGGGGAGTGGCCTCACCATGATGCCCAGTGTCCACTGGGGAATGCCACAGCCATGTGCTCAAATGAGGTCACTTAATCCTGAAATGCCATACAGTTTTGTTGCCAGAAGATGGTCACTGAAGGAGGTGTGCTGACTGCTTTCACATCTATGGCAGTTTCAAATATGGCCACAGACTCTTTGCCTTTCCTCCATTCCTAGAATGTGGCTGGGCTTGTGACTGCTTCCACCAATAGGGTCAGCAGAAGTTACACCATGTAACTTCCATGAAATGAGGTCATAAAGGATGCTGAGGACTTGTTTCCTCAGCGAATTGAGAAATGGTGGTGTCAGCTGAAACTGACCAGGCTGCAAGATGTTGGGTAGTGAATGAGGAGAGGAGAAATCATCCCTTCAGAGGAAGTGAACAGATGAGGGTAGGCTTGCCCAGTAACTCATCTGGGGCCCTGAGGTTTGGGATCACTAACTGCAAGGCTATGGACACTTTAACATCCAAATTTGAAATCCAGTTGGCTGCTTTAGAAGCTGAGAAATTTATCTCTGAAGTGAATGGAAGAGTTCCCACTTTCCTTAAAGTAGGATGAGATGATGCAGAATTTGAATATATGCAGCTGGTGGTCTCCCATCTTTTCCCAGCCACACATAATTCATTATCAGCAGCACCCGCCATTACACTCAAAAGTTTGCCATTGGGCCTCAGTATGCCTGAATCTCCTGGGGGATTTGGGGAGGCAGAGTGATGACCCCCACATATGTCTACTGCTAGGCCCCAGAACCTGTGAAAATAGTGCTTCACATGGCCAGAGGGACTTTGCAGATGTGATTATGTTAGGATTTTGAAATAGTGAGATTATCCCGGATTATCCCCATAGGCCCAATGTCATCACAAGGGTCGTTTTAAGAAGGAGACAGTAGGATCCAAATAAGAGAGGAAGATATGACAAAAGCAGCGATTGGAGTGATACATGGCCATAAGACAAGGAATGTGAGTGGCCTCTACAGGCTGGAAAAAGCAAGGAAATGGACTCATTCCCTAGAGTCTTCAGAACGAACACAGTCCTGGAGACACCTTGATTTCAGTCCAGTGATAGATTTCTGAACTCCAGAATGTTAAAATAATAAACTTGTATTGTTTAAGCCACTAACTTTGTGGTAATTTGTTTCTGCAGTAATAGCAAACGAATGCAGGGGGTATATGTGATTTGCAATTTTCCACCAGTGGGTGCTAATTTGTGCCCAAAGGGATGGTATATCTCACTGGGAAGCACTGGATCTGGGGGAGGGAGTGGGAACAGGCACTCTGCCTAGGGTTGGCAGCCTGAAGGGAACTAGTTTGGTGCTAGTGGAATGGTTCTCAGTCTCACAGACATGTGGAGATTGATTAGGTAGGAAAAGTCTAACAGTCTGGATGAGTGAGTAGAATGCTCAGCTCAGACTCTTCTGTGACCTTGGGACAAAGACTGCTGTCCGGTAGAAAAGTGTGCAAATCTAACTTCTGGGGGAAGAGACAGCTGCACTTGCAGAAATGGATGAGGATAGGGGCGCCTGCGTGGCTCAGTTGGTTAAGCGTCTGACTCTTGATTTCCCCTCAGATCATGATCTCATGGTTCCTCAGACTGAGCCCTGTGTTGGGTTCTGTGCTGACACGATGGAGCCTACTTGGGATTCTCTCTCCCTCTCTCTGTCCCTAACCACCCCCCTCAAAATAAACATTAAAAACAAACATTTTTTTAAAAAATGCAGACCCTCCCCTCCCAAGAAAACAGAGCCCATTACATTAGGTGAAAAAAAGTTCAGTCACACCTTTCTAATTTGAGATGCTCTAAACCAAAATGTTAAAGAATAACTGGAAGTAAATAAAGTGCCACATAAAGTGATACCTGCAAAAGCAAACAAAATAAAATGTGTCAATATTAAAATCAACCAAAGTGGGATTAAAAGTTAGAGGGTTGATCAGGATAAAGACATTTTGGTGTGATCAAGGTACTCTAAAAGAAGAAATAACAATTTAAAACCTATATACAACTAAAAAATGGCACTTAAATGACACAAAAATCAATTTGAGATACAAGGAGAACTTGATTAGAGCAAAGCAAAGAAAAAGCAGTTATGGAGAAAGAATTTAATATACTGCCTTTGGAATCAGACATATCTAGTATATGAAATAAACCTAATGAAAAAATTGAATAATAAAATTAACAAGTTCAATTTAATAGATGTATATATAGGATTTTTGTGCCCTATGATTTCAAGAATATATGTGTGCTTAATCAAACAAATAATATTAAAGTATAAATTTTTACAGGTGACTTATCTGATCATATATTAATAAAAGTATGAGTAAATAATAAAATTATCAAAAATATCTTAATTTCCTGGACATTAAGAAATAACTTTCAAATATTTGAACCAAAGAGAAAATAAAATTGGATTACTAACTCCCTTAAAAAAGAAAACACAACATGGGGCGCCTGGGTGGCTCAGTTGGTTAAGCGTCCGACTTCGGCTCAGGTCATGATATCATAGTCAGTGAGTTCGAGCCCTGCGGCAGGCTCTGTGCTGACAGCTCAGAGACTGGAGCCTGCTTTGAATTCTGTGTCCACCACTCTCTCTGCTCCTCTGCCACTTGTGCTCTGTCTTGCTCTCTCAAAAATAAATATTAAAAAAAAAATTAAAAAAAAAGAGAACATGATGCATCATAATAAACGGTGCACAGCTAAGCTGTATAGCAGGAAAAATTACAGCCTTAATTGTATTATTAAAGTAGAATTATCAAAAATTAAGGAATTACTATTTTGCCTTAAGGAACTGGAGAAACAGTACAATAAACCAAAAATAATAAAATAGAAATTTATTCAAGTTAATGAAAATTAAAGCCAAAGTAAATGAAATGGAGAGCAAAGGGAAAGAAAAGTTATGGTAATAAACCTCTCAAAAGCCTGACTGAGAGAGCAAAAGTATTATAATGTAAATGAGAAAGAAGATAACCACAGGTACAGAAGCAATTAAAAGAATTATGAGACTATTATACAGAACTATATGGAAAATTTCCTAATATAAATAAACAAAAGTGAACAAGAAGCAGAAAACTCCAATAGAATAATTACCATGGAAGTGACATGGACACAAAGCCTAGGGTTTATAGCTGACTTTAAACCTTTCTTTTAAATTTCTTTTTAATATTTAGCACAAATCCCAACGTGGGGCCTGAACCCATGAACCATGACATCCTGACCTAAGCCAAAGTCCAATGCTTAACCAACTGAGCCACCCAGGCGCCCCAGACTTTAAATCTAACTTTAAGGAATAAACTATTCCAATTTGTTAAAAAAAATTCCATATCAACACAATGAACAGCTTCACAAAATATTAAATGAAGATAACATAATACTCACATCTGATAAAGATGGTATAAAAAAGAAATGTATCACCCAGCTTCATCTATGAATATAAATACGTGAGTTGAAAATAAAATGTTTAATCAAATCCAGCAGTATATCTAAAGAACAATACCATGACCAAACAATTTATTTCAGGAATCCAAGAATACTTCAATTTCAAGAAATTTATCAATTAAGTTTAATCAACTGTATAAAGAACTCATCATACCCAAGAAAAACTATGAATGTAATCAACATGGGACCCTTTCAGTTGGCCCTCCTTA